CGCCAGGACCACATATTTGATGATGAGACTGTAGAGAAGTTACCACTTGAAGAAACTGGGGGAGCAGGTGGTACAGGCAGCAACGAGTCCGGGAAATAAAATTCAACGTTTATATTTTCTAAAATCTCACCATAATCAACCATTTTCCCTTGCTTTTTCTCAATCACGGGAAATATTGTCGCAGGCTAGCCACTCGCAGTTCACAACCAAGGGCCAAGTGAGGGTCCCATATACATGGCAGGTTTCAATCTCCCTTACTGACAGCTATGAGCCTTGGGTAGGGTGACATTGCTGTATACATGACAGTATAACCCCTACCCTCTGGCGCAGACTAAACCACTCGCAGTCCATAACCAAAGGTTCAGTGAGGGTCCCGTATACATGACAGGTTCCCCTGCCGAGAGTCCCTTGCTGACAGTTATGAGCCCAGGGCAGAGTGGTTGCTGTATACATGTCAGGAAGGCAAATCCCTCAACCAAACTATTTCAGCTATCCTTCCCACTCAAGGATAAGCATTTCATATAATCTTTAAAATATCTTCCACTCGGAGATGGGTCCCAATAAGACCATCAACCGTTTAGGCCGCCCTCGGCCATAACCTCTCTCTCAATATGATTTTCTGGATTTTTTAAATCTCCCAAAAATCCTCCACTGATAATCACGCTTTCCTCACTTCATTGAACCCTCCCCGGTTCAAGCACTCTTCATTGACCCTTTTGTCACTCGTTCATTACACACAGTTAAGACTTTCCTTCTCATATGTCAAATAGAACAAATACATGAAAACCCACAAATCCACCATGGTGAGAATGCCAATGACAACCAGAACACGCATGATTTTGCAACCCAGGGAAATCAAAACCGATATCAAGATGGTCCTTAGAAGAAAGGAAGAAAATCAGATTATCCCGAGTCTCAAGCCTTCACAAGCCTCAAACCACCACTCAAACCACCACAAATCCAGGTCTCAACCAAAAACAAATGACCTCGTATACCATAAGTCATAAAAGATTGATATACACAAAACAATCCCAATCGTTCCCATGAAGGTGAAAGGATGTCAGCGTACGGACAATCGAACCTTACATGACCTCTACTTACATTCAACCAAGCCTGGAATCATTTTAGAGGGTGGATAGTTAAACTTGGAGCGTACACACAGTCCCAAAAATAAGGATTCTCATTCGAAATCAGAAATATACACAAGATAAAATCTATGTCTCATGAAACTTGGAGACTCAGCTTAAAAGCAAAATGAGTAGATGATCGTCTATCTGTCTGGCCGTTGGGTCTTTTGCACCGTCATAGCCTCTCAAATGTTTATTTATAAGTTGTTTCAAAACTATTGACACCATTCCATCATCGCTTTCTTGCTACGAGACAAATAAAATGGTGATAGTTATTGAGAGGAACCAAGCCCTTGCCTAAAGCACAACGGTCTCACCCCTTAACGCCTTCCTTTACCATCTTACATCTACGAGGGGTATGACCAGTCTTTCCGCAACAAGCACATGCTATCTTTGTCTGTCGGTTTCGCATTCTCTTCATTCTACGATCCGTCCTACTTTCAACAATAGGTGGGGCCATATCTACTTGCTTTTGTTCCCTTTGTCTCCCTTTCTTCTCCTTACTCGGGATGTCAATTGTCCTCTCACAGGTATGAGGCACGACGTCTCTGACTTCAGCCTCCCCTGCTTTATCAACGCAGGCCCTCGCCTTGTTCTCTTCATCCCACTTGTCATTTCGCTTAAATTTCTTAATCTCCTTCTGAGGTTCGCCTTCCATATTCCCTCTAGCACCTGCCACAACTTCCTTTGCGCCTTCATCCAGCTTGTTCTAACCACAACTTTGCAACTCCTTCCTTTTCCTCGCTTCCTGTAGAGTATGGCAGAGGTACTGGTCGAAATCCCCCTACGCAAAGTTCTCTCGGATCTTATCCCATATTAGTCTCCCCCCTGTCCCACGAATCAAGTCTCGCTGCTCGGCGTCTGTGAAGTTCATGAGGAAGACAAAGCACTTGTCATGTTCAGACAACGCCCAGACCTTGCGCGATGCGCGCTCATACTCCGCCAAGAAGAGCCCCACTGACACATAACTATATCGATCTATCTTCTCTAGATCGTCTTTGGTCAGTTGTTCCTCATCTAGCCGGTATTTATTCCACATGTCATCATCAAACCTCCTCCATGACGACCCCGCTCTTCTAATCAACCCACTGACTTCATCCTTCAAGCCTATATGGATGTACTTAATCACCTCTTTCAGCATCTGCTCCTCATTCCACTTGCAGTGAGATGCTATCTGTTCAAACTTATCAAGGAAGTCAGAAACGCGATAGCTCTTGAAGAAGTCGATTTCAACCTTGGGTAAGTTGTCTCGCTCCCAATCTCGCAGACCCAGCAGAGAGGCGAGCTCCTCGACCCCAATCTTCCCTTGAGTGCCTTCCATCTCGAGCTCCCTCAACCCCATCACCTGTTGAACAACAACGAGCAGTGTTACGGTCGAGACTTAAGAGGAGTTACGTATCTAAGTCAAAAATAGAATATACCCTACTAGATAACCCCGACACTTATCATAAGGGCGCACAAAAAAACCTATATTAGAGCGATCGGCGATACCGGAGAGAGTCTTTAAACCAATATCCATCTGCAATAAGACATAAATATTCACATATAAGTCCCTCAAATTATAACTCAGGCATTAACCAAATATCACTTCTGCTATTTAGGAAGGATATAATATACATATGCCATATAGGTGGATACTCCAAACATGAATCCAAAATGAAGTACAACCCATGATAAATAAATATATATTCACTATAATAGTGCATAGTCTGATAAACACAAATTATTTGCTAGGGTTGTAGTTGAAAAACACGTATGCTTCAAAGATAACCAACATAAAACCAACTCAACTACCAGTCATATAACAAGATAATTCTCAAGAACGTATTTCATATTCTATAAGGCAGAAATAAGACTAGCAATGAGTAAATAACATGATACAATTGTCACCCCTTCCACTCTTTAAACGAAGCATTTAATACAGACGGTCGGTGTAATCCTTGTGAGATAACATCTTGACTCTTGAGCCCCGCTCTAAAGATCAAGCCTCACCGCAACTCTCTTTTTATGAAGATCATCTCTTTTTTTTCTAGCAAATCCTTGTTTTTTCGAACATCCTGTATTTTAGCAGATAAAGATTGATCTAAACTTATTTTTTTTTTTGTGTTTCAGCGCTTGCGCCTCACCGAACGTAGTCATGGCCAGATGGACAACCCCATTCATACCTATTAAGGCAACGAATAGCGAATTCGCGCCCTTACAAATATGGTGGCCCTGCTTAACGCGAGACGAGTCTAGGTCGCTACTCCAGAATCGCTCTCACTAAGCAGTAGTTGTTTCACTTGGTCATCACAATTTCGGCAAGGTAACAAACCCCTTCCTCTCTTCTCAACAGATAATGTAGTCACTCTCCTATCATAGGAAAGATAACAATACCTCACTAATGGACCAGGAATATAATTCCGGCGTGAGTCTCACTATCCTTCTTGAGACTGATAGCTGCTTCCTTAAGCCTCAACGAGGGAGTAACAATTCCAGAATGCACTTCCACTGAGGACAACTATACACGTTGACTTAATTCCTTGAGGAAGAATCACCTTCCCCAGGAACGAGTCATCCTATTCACCTCTGGTCCCATGCCAGACGTGGGTTTCATGCAAAATCTATGTCCCCTCTGAAAGACAATCCATACATACGTCGCCAATTATATATTAAACAAAGTACAGAAAAATACATATATAGTGCACACACTTAAAACATAAGCCTCTCTTCGGGTTAGTCATACCGCTAATCAAATAACCACTACTTCTTTAGCTTTATTGATAGTTACAACTAGACAATCTCCAAGTGACTCACCCCATCACCAACTGATACTATCAATGGGTCTAGGTACAATATTCATCGTAGTACTTATTACACCATAATTCAGTCTGAACTCAAGGAAAGATTTTTGCCATTAAACCCCTCACTTCGCGCCTATCAGTCACCCCCTCATCCATGCCGCTCACGTTTCAGAAGCCTCCTCTAAAGGGACACTCTATTGACAAGGGGGAGACGCCTCAGCTTAACGACTTCACTCCCAAAGCAGGCTCAACACAGTACTCACGTAACAAGTCACCATCATCGTAGCTTTGACAGTTATCAACTGAGCTTGCTTTGGTAGTGGACATACCCAACAATGCGGACGCTGCCTCAACTCAACCAAGGCCACATCAGACATGCCACGTATTGCCCAATTATCAAAAGATACTTAGGATAACAAGGTGCTCACAAAGACCACTATTATATGCGTTAGAGTACTTAAGTGTATAGCCAAACACTTCCTTCCGCAAGTAACCTGGGCATACGCTAATAATCAACACTTCATACTTAGGCCATAGTTTTAAGACATCCCCAAAGATAGTCAAGGCATCAAGCAATCAACCATATACGTCCAAAGAAAGCTTCTCCCTTTGCCTAGTTCTCACTTTCCAATACCCGGATGTCGTTCCAGCAGGGACAACGGCAGGCAACCGTTATCCCTGGCAATGGCGCCACCTGTCGAAGGTGCGTTGGTCAAACCGAAAGGCATAACCATGAACTCGTAATGACCATACCTGGTTCGGAATGTCGTCTTGTGTTATTCTCAGGAGCCACCTCGATTTGAGATCAATATTGCTAAAGTACCTGGACCCCTGCAACTGATTCAAAAGATCGTCAATGCGCCGAAGAGGTTTCGCGTTTTTGACAGTGACGAAGTTCAGCCCACGATAGTCAATACACAGACGAAGTTCACCTTCCTTTTTGGGCACGAATAAGACGGGTTCACCATAAGGAGATGAGCTAGGGTGAATCCATCCTTTGTCAGTAAGTTCTTGCAACTGCTTCCGGAGTTCCTCAAGTTCCTTGGAAGACATTCGGTAAATGGGACCCTTGGAAGTCTTGCTTCCGGGAATGATCTCAATTGTGTGCTTAATAGCACGCGCAATGATTCCCATCGACTCAGTTTGCAAGTCCTTATATTCGTCGAGAAGTTTTTCGATAGAAGGTGGATGGGATGAGGAACACTTTCCGACTCGTTTGACAAGCACCATCATCACCTCTTGATCCAACTTCTTCTTTACTACCATCGATCGGAAAGTTGGGTAACTCGTACAAAAGATAGACAAAGAGGAGAGAAATGCCAAGCCTATGATATAACTTGATAGTACGTAGTTCGGACTTTTCGTCTTGAAGTTTGATAACTTATCTTTGAATTTAACTTCTGGGTCAGCTTCCTCATGCCAATCCATACCCAGAATTAAAGGTTAAATTATTTTCAATTAGGAAGGATACTTGAAGTGGAATTTGATGTACCCGTAGGTACACGAGGAGATTGTTATGATCGTTATTGTGTCCGCATTCATGTAAAATCTTTTTCCCTTCCTTAGTCCTAAAATAACACTTGACATGATTGATGTATTGAGAGACAGTGATCGTGCTCAGGTTAGCCAGTATAGACGTGATAGGTCTAGGTAAATCCTTTACCTTCATTCCCAGGTGCAACTTGCGAATTGCCTTCTCTGAGATATAAGACCGCGTGGATCCCGGATCTAACAGGGCACCTACTCGCGTGTGCGCAATCTCTATAACTGCAATCATTAGTTCAACTTTTTTAGCCCACGAACTCCGTAGTGCTATCAGTTCATAACCGAGTTCGTCAAGGGAATCGTCCCGTGGGATAGAGCAAACAACATTGTCAGGGCGTTTTGGACGATGGGCCGAAGAAGAGCCATCCTCTGCCTTGAGAGTCAAAGGGGTAGAAGGGGTTGTAGGCGCCCTACGTTTATCTAAACCCTTTGACTCAGTAGGTTGGCAACAGGCCGGAGCGGGGGAGAGCGGAGTGCCACAGAGTGAGGGGAGAGGAAGAGCGACGAACAGCTACGGAGGCAGTGGGAGGAGTGAATGAACCTGGACACTAAATCGCACCAGGGACATTAAGAAGTTGAAAAGCGACAAGGGCAAGCTATGGCGGGGGKGGGGCAGGACGCAGCCAGATATGCTCGACCCGCTCAATGCTTTAGCAAAATCGGGCGAGTAGAAGGTCAATTCTCGACTTTAAGCCCGGGCGAATCTGAGCCTAAGTTTAGCTTTAGACGACAGTTAGTGGGTTAGGAGGTTAGTAGAGGAGGACGTGCATGGAATTGCAGCAATGGCGGAGGTGGAAAGAAGTGATAATCACAGAACTCGGTCGATTCTCGACGAAATCGACCGAGGAAAGAAACGATTTTGGGGTTACGGCCCGGGCGAGCACGATAGTCGTGTCAGTTTTGAGAATAAAGTAGTGTAGAGAGAATTAGTAGGAAAAAGGTATGCGCTGAGAGATGGTGTAGGCTGACTATGGCAGAAAAGGGAAGAGGGGGTAACTCACTATTCTCTACAGAATCGAATGAGTGAAGATGTGAATCGGTGGTTTTTGGATAGGGCGAATCCACTAATCGACTTACTTTGAGTGATAGGTTAGTAGAAAGACACGTTAGCACAAAACGGGCTGCGTAAAAATAGACGAATGAGTGGGTAGGAAAGAGCAAGGGGAGAATAGTTCGGCCGATTCTTGGCAAAATCGGGCAGACCAAGGCTCAGTTCTGGAGTTTCTTGGCCCTGCGAGTTGAATTGTGGAGTTAGATTTGGAGTTGAGTGTTTACTTTGGGCGCCATAATGACTAAGGGTTGCGCGCGGGGCGGATGGCTTCAAATTAGTGGATGAATCTCTCCGCGTTTTAGCGGGAGATTCATTTCTCGTTTCGTATAACTGGAGAGGAGCGGGAGAGTATGTGGCAGCGGGCGGAGCAAGCGCCACCAAGTCGATCGGGGGAGGGGTGCTCTATTGATGTTCCATCTCCTTGTGCCTTCGTCTTGTCGCCTACTGATCCGCAGGGCTGGGATTTTTGGGTCAGTCCGCTGTAGCTATGCTTCCCTTGCGGGGCGGCGTGTCGTGAGCTTGACAACACACATGCATACACGAAGAGAGAGAGGGTGTATAAGCTTACCTTGAGAAAGCGGGCGACGAAGGATGAACCGTAAGTCAAGCTACTATGCAAAACTGTCCGCTGACCCGATACGGGTTGGCAAGGTATATGGTTGAATCCTAGATGGAAGGTTCGATCTCGTTTTACACAGTTTGTGCGGGCGTGCGAAGACCGTAGTCGTGGAGCGAACTTGCATAGATGAACGAATGGAAGAGACTTGGTGTGGTCCTATTGAAGGATTTGACGAAGTTGCGTTCTAGTGGAAGTTTTCATTCGCTCCATTTCGACTGGTCTCGTGAAGGTGATTGGCCGTTGTAAAGGCAAAGGGTTGCAACTACCACTGCGGTAAGGACTCCGCTTATGAGCCAACTGCTATTTCATGCCAACTTCACGAGAGTGGTTTGGTCAGCCAGCAGCATGCAGTCCTTCCGACGGTGAATGATTTGCTGCTATTGGGTATGAAATACTGCT